GACATTAGATTTAAAGTGAGTATTTTTGCATTGCTGATAAAAATGGGAAGAAGATTCACATTGTTATGTAGATGATAAACATTAAATGAATGAAATTAGTAACGAGTAGAAGTATACATAATATATAGTCAGACATCTATTTTCATGCTTGACTGAAACATTATGATACTACGCACCATAAAAATAAATATTATTAGATTGATTAGTAGATTCAACCTGTATTCGAAATTCTAATGCAATGGTAAATTATTGAAAACATAACCTTGAAGATTTTTATTTTATACTTAGTTCAAATAATGTTTTTTTTCTTGTCTTTTCACGTTGATTGAACTTCCAACAGATCTGTCCTTTTTACATGAATACTCTTTTAAAACATTTATTACAATCTTCTTTTTAATAATTCTCGTGAGAGATAACCAAATATTTCTGTCAACAAAAAAAAAAAAAAATCTTCCGATGATAAACTCAAGAAAATAGAAAATGTTTGCATCAATGCAAATATCTACATATATAACGAACAGTATTTCGACATAAAGTTATAAATAATAACATACTGAGATTTCAAAAATAATGTACATTTTAATTTCTTTTAATTCAAAATGACAATATCTATGTATTGTCAACAATCAATTTATTTTCTACTTATGTAAAGAAATTTTTTTTTTGTGCCAGAGATATTTGTCCCTGCTGGCAATCCATTTTCGTGACTATATTGAACTAGAACAATTGTTATCATAATCCATAATATTCATTGACTCATATATTTTTTCAATATTCTTCAGAAAAAAAGATACCATTGCTGCAGTAATATTGTTGAAACATCTATTGTACCGGCCTTATAATGAACATCTCTGCTTTGTGTATACACATACAATTGCAACTGATTAATTATTGTATTCGATAGTATTGGATACAGTGTTTCTTTTTGTCTCGACGAAAATATTTTCTATTGTTCTGATTTAATATCTGCATGCGAATTTGTCTGTTCTCATACAATACAATATGAACTTTTCTTTTACAAAGATAACATAATATAAGTTTGTTGGGTATTATTAAGGTTCAAATACTAGGATGACTCTGTAAATATATGAAGACTAAGAAAAACAAGTAAAAAATATGTAAAATGTTTGAAGTAGTTTGCATAATGAATAGATCTCATACCATAAACTTGATCTACTCAATATGAAACTATGTGTTGACATAAATGAAAATAACTTCACATTCGTAAAAGAAAATTGTTTTGTTTTGTTTTTTCTTTTTGAAAGAAAGTATGAAAATCTTATAAAAAAATCTAGTTAAATGTTTCTGATAAGTAATTATAAATTTTATCTTTAGCCACGAAGACAACTTCAATGCTGTCTCTGTTGATTATATTACAATGCAGTAAATATACAAATAAACAAACGAAAATTTTGAATTTATTTCTTACAATATATCTTAGTACTTTTAGTTTGTGGTGAATGATAAACTAATAAAACAAATATCACCTGAGCACAATACTATCAACATTTTCGACGTCAAATAATGCGCGTGATATTCAAGAAATTATCTTTGAGAACAAAAGTTTCTCGTTACACGAATTCTGTAAAAGAATATTTATGCTTATTAATGAAATATTCTTCAATTTTAGTTTGACAAATATTGAAACTTAGCTTGATTTTATTTCAATAAATTTTTCATAAGCAATAAATGAGAGTATTCTTTGCTTGTTTTCGCTGAATATTCAAAATATCATCATTCCTTTTTTAATTATCAGTCATGTCCTATGAAAGAACAAACTCATACTTCATTGTCAATGTTGAAATGCTTCTTTTTCTTTTTATAATGACAATTCTGACAAAGTATTCTTATAGATGGAAGATAATTAATTTCTTGTTTGTGAGACAATAAAAATATATTTATGGAATCGACAAAGTAAAATTGAATCAGCAATTCCGAAGTTTAGGTTATTGCACCTTTTGCTATGTACCTGTATTTCCAAAAATAGATGTGTACTCTCCTGTAGTTTTGAATCACTTGTCCAAAAGAGAAAATTTCCATAAAATATTCTGATAAAGATTTTTGAAAAGAAATAATATAATATTTGTAAATCATCATTATAGTTCAAATATAATTAAATGAAAATTATACGTAACAGAGTTTCTGTTTTTCTTTCTTCATTCTCGCCTTTTAAAGCAGCATGTTTGATCATTATCAATTAAAGAGTACGACATTGTGTTAAAGAATTGTTAAATATAGTCGCAATAAGCAAATTAAAAGAAGCAAATGACAACTTATTCATCATTTCTAGTTATTCTTTATTTATCTTTGTCTTCATTTCGATTTCTATCTATTATTTAAGAGTTGATAGAAAGTGAACAAATAAAAAACGAAAAACAAAGAACAAACGATTAAATACTAATAAAAAACATGTAAATGTAATAGTTCTTCCATTCTTTTTTGTCATATGTTTTAAATATGGTTCGATTCATTTTATATTTTGGTCGAAAAAAAAAATGCTTAAATTCTGATTCATATTTAAATATTTATCTTAAGTCTTTCGATATGAAATGTCATATATCATCATATGCACTTTGTCTATTTTATCTAGTAACATCTTTACTTATTACATATCATCATGAAAACTATAACAGACTTTCCACCGGATCGACAAAATTTTAAAGCTGCTATTGAAGATAATATTGGATCATGTATAATAGCATTATTATCATTTTTATCCCTTATATCAGCAATATGTTGGCCTTATATTAAAATGAATAAAGTTTTATCGGAACATTTAATTGATATGACATCATTTAATGATTATCTTATTGTTAATGTATTTGTATTTGTTTCCTATACATTACAATATATTTTAACAGCTGGTATATTAGAATATACAAATCCACGAGGTTTTAAATCAGATTTATTAACTAATGAACAACGACAACAACGAAAAAGACAAGTACGAAAAGAATTAATATTAGGCATTGGTGCTATGTTTGGTATGTATCGATGAATCAATTATTTTCTTTTTTCAAACAACTGTAAAAACAAATCAAATAAAGAATATTTTTTCTCGTTTTTTTTTCTGTTAGGGAATACAACATATGCTGTAGGATGGATGTATTTTATTGAACCATATCTATGGACAACAAATTATTTTGTTCATAATAAATATACATTAGTATGGTTTATTTTTAATGCTCTTATCTATGGTTTTATATTTGATTCATGGTTTTATTGGACACATCGTGCATTACATGAATCACAATATTTATGGGATAAAATTCATACAACTCATCATGCTTTTAAATATCCATCAGCTTTTTGTCAAGATGCTGTTCATCCATTAGAAGGTCTTGTACAAGGTATAACACATGTTTTTTTTTCTTTCTAGTAATAAAATATCATGTTTTTTTCTTTGTTATACAAAAATAAGGTCCGGTGGGTCATTATTTAACAGCACTTATTATGCCTGTTCATCCTATTGCTTTAGCATTCTTTGGTTTATTTACTTCATGCTTTGCTAGTAAGTCGATTTATATTTAATCTATTGAATTAAATGATTTTTTTTTTGTGTATTTAGTTGCTGCTCATGATGGACGTTTAGGAGATTTAAATCATCATTATGCTCATCATAACAAAGGTAATGTTTCTATTTACTTATGATAATGAAATCATATTAAATTCTTTTGTATTTTTCTTTTTTTTTTTATCTATGTAGGTAAAGGTCGTTTACATAATTTTAATTATGGTCTATATTGGCCACTATGGGATCTAATATGTGGAACTCGTTATCATGATCGTCCTGATACAAATGATGTCAATCATTCATCGAATATAACAGAGGATACAAAGACAAAGTTCACATGATTTATTCTATTCTCGTTCAATTTGTCTGTCTAATTTTATTCTTTGATCTAATTCGACCGACAATGCATATACATGATCCACATACACAATACATTGCATGTGTAGGTATATGTGGTGATCATTGTCAATATCCGTTTCCTTTTTAGTTCTTTTCTATCCTAATCCAATTAATTATAATAAAAAAAAACCACATATTAATGATTTTCTTTGTCAATAAATTTTTCAAATATATTTTCTTTGATTTCTAGTATGCAACACACATATAGTCTTGCACACAAATAAAAAAAAAGCAGAACTCTATGTTTATACTCGCACGGAAGCAAAAATGAACGAGAAATAAAATAGTACCAAAAACCAAAAAGAAAAAAAAAGAAAACAAAGAGTTATTTATGAGAACAAGTAAAATAGTAGAGCAAAAAAAACAATAATAATAATATTAATAAGAAGCAAGCTAACAAAAAGAACCCGAACAATACCTGAGATATGAAGTAAACAGAGGCGCACACATCGAAAGTGACTAACTTTTTTTCATAATGACAAAAAGAAAACCGGTTCATTCATTTCTATGTTATGTAATCGATTATTACAGATAATGGCAAACAAATACATGATGATAATGATGATAAGTTAATACTGACTTACTGTTATCAAAAACTCAGATACAGTATTAACAATTACAGAAAATCAAAATGCTGATATAATTTGCAATGTTATATACAACAGTAAACGAAAAAGAAAAAGGAATGTATACATACATATATATATTTATATATGTTCTGTAATAAAATTGATAAATGAGAAGAAGAAACCGGTGAGAAAATTCGCTCAGCGGGATTTTTATATAATCATGTATATGTTTGACAAACAAACAAAAACCAATTAATGGTTAGTAAAGACAATATGAGAAAAAAAAAGATGGGAAGTCAATTGCCAAATACACGAAATGAACACATGCCGGGCATTGAAGAACGAAACAAATACTTGACAGACATTGTCTGTTACTCATTAAGGTAAACAAAAAACAAAAAAGAAAACTAACAAATAAAACAACAAGTGATATATTGCGTTTTTCTTTTTTTTTTGATAATAAGAAGAGAGAAACAAACAAACATTGAAATTTTTTCACCTGGTTACTTAGTCGATTTTTATACATCATGAATACCAACTTCCATAGGTGTTCGATCGTATGTACTCGATGAATAACATGTACGATGTGGTGATCCACTTCCACTACTATGATTTGTTGTTGATGCATTTACACTAAATACACTCGATGATAAAAACCATGATATACTACGATTTGGTGATGATGTTGTTTGTATTGGAGATGAATCATTTAATTGTTGTGGTATAGTTAGATTTATTGATGATGATGGTGTTAAACGTGATATGATATTTGATTGTGTTTGAATAGATGATTTTATTGTTGGTGTCGATGGTGTATTAATAAGATTTTGTTTTTCAGGTAATTTAAATGTATGTGAAAAACGTTGTGATTTAAGACGACGTACAGCTTCTTTTATTAAATTTCCTTCATCAATTAAACGTTGTAATAAACTTGGTAGACGACGTTTTTTTTCAAAATTATTTATATTTGTTGATAAATTTATATGATATTTATTATTATTATTATGATGATGATGTTGAAAACGATTTGATATTGATGATTTATGATGAATATTTGTTGATTTCCATGGACCTGTTGATATTGATGAATTATTTAATGTTATTGACGATACATCAACAGTATTATGTAATGGTTCAATACTACTCGATTGTAAACGTTTTAAATTTGTTGTTGTTGCTGTTGTTGTTGTTGATAATGATGGTGATGATACTTCTTTTTGTTGTTGTTGTTGTTGTTGTATTACACCAAAATGTCGACGGCAACCCGAACGAAATCGAAGTATTTCAGTTAATTTATCCTAATTAAAATAAAACAAAATAGCAATAATTAAAATAAATAGATTTTCTTTGTTGTTTTATACCAATAATAAATTTAATTCTGGTGTTGATGTTGATGATTCAATATTAGTTTCAATATCATTCGACATGATTGGCAATGATGGATGAGTATCAATTGAAACATTTACTAATGATGATGGAACGTGTGATGTACGACCGACAGAACACATTGGTAATGTATATGAACGTTCTTGCATTTAATTATCAAATGTAAAGACTAGAAATATTATTAGTAATAGGAGAAAAAAACCATCAACTCGATCAGTCAGAAAACGACAAAAAAACGTGAGACGAGTGTAAACTGATGGTCAGTTGCCACCGTCCATGAACATTAGTTGTTTTTTCTTTTTGTTTAGATCTAAAAATGAATACACCAAAAAAAAAAAACACAAAAGAAATAAAGATAAATCAGAATTGCATTGACTGGGCAATGAAGATGACAACATATATATTGTTGCCAGTTGGCAACAACAGAAATAATAAACGATAAAAAGACATCGAAGAAGACAGAGAGAAAGAATAGTCATAACACAAGGAGGCGTAACTCCGTATGATATAAAGCAAATTTTTTTCTGGTTATATTTTTAATATAAATAAACATATTTATTACAAGAAAAGAAAAGGTTATGTCATCATAAGATAAGAACATTAAAGTCTATATAAGACTTTTTTTTTAAATAAAATTTCTAAAATAACAGAAAAGGAAAAGAATTAAGTTTAAAAAACCTATCACAAATCATTCTCTTAATATTTATAAACTTTCGAAGTATATAAATAACCTCAATCAAAGTAGACAAGTTTATATGTGTATGTATGCACCCACGAAATCAATTTGACAATTTTACTATGCACAACTCACACTATACTATTGCTTCGTTTTCTCTCTTTGCGCTGTGTCCCTCTCTCTCTCTCTCCCTTATTCTATTTATATATTCATTCGTAGTAGTATAATAGTTGCCGTCGTCGCCATCATCGCGGGCTGCGGCATGCCTTTGTATGTCTGAAAACAACGCGAACGCATGCACACACACATACTTCTTACTACTGCAACAACCGGAGCAAGCGAACGAGAGAGCAAACCAATTTCTAATAACAAAAAACGCCAAGTACACGATAAAGAGAAAAAAGTATGAGAGAGAGAGAGAACAAAAGTTATGAAGTACAACAAAGTAATGAGCAAATATTAGATTTAACCGTATAGAAGTTTTTCAGATAGATCATTGACAAAACGTCAAAGCAACATCTGTTACGGCAAGTATATTTATGGCTACGTTTTGACAAGATAAGTGCCTCGGATATATATATATATACGTTACCTCTAATAATAATTGTATGTGTGTACTAAGACATACACGTCACAAATGGCACCGTGTTGTTACTAGTACTGCAACTACTATAGAATTCGCTTTCTCCCTCTCTCTCTCTCTCTCTCTGTGTCTTTTCTTTTCTCTTTGTGTGTGTATGTGTATTCCTTTATTCTTTTTCTCTAGGTCTCTTTTTCTTTTTCATTTAATCTTTTTTTCGCACACTTCCTGTGTGCTCGGAAGATGATGAGGAGGAGAAGAGACACATACGCACATACAAATCACTGGGCAGCATTATTCTAGAACCAAAAAAAAAAAAAAGAAAAAGGAAGAAGAGAATAGAAACAAATCAGATGTACAAGCACATAGACACTTACATACAGATATCCATCATTTCACAGCATCGTGGTTTTGGAAAACATATACATTCAATACATATGTTTCTGTTTATTGGCATTATGCCAAAATAGAACAGAAAGAAACAAAACAATAGATTATCAAACAAATTTTCGTTCGTTCTTCAAAACTTTTTGTTTCTTTATGAAATAGTATATATATATATATGCGTCGTTTATATGTATATACACAGTACAACTTAATGTTTGACAGATTGTATGTAATGCGCAAAAAGAAAAAAAAAAGAAAGATAACAAGTAAAAAAAGCCGAACCATCAAACATATATTCATACGAACTTGGTCTCCTGCCAATAAGCCCATATACACAGAGGCTACATAAATATATATGTATACATTGATGTATTCATATACATATCTATTCTGTGCATGACTGCGTGCGGTGTACTAAGAGAAAGGAAAGCAGCTCATGCTGTCAAAAGAAAAAAAAAGCGATAGATAACTTAAATATATATATATATGTATTTACTCGATTCATCTCAATGTATGTCTTTATCTTCATTTAAACTTACTCGTTAGGGTTCAACTTATTGGTATATTAAGATGTATAGACTATGGTTCATATTTTCAATCGATGAAAAAAAAACGAGCTTGGTCTAGTTCAACTCTTTTCTAAATGATGAGAGAATGCGATGAACGAGTCGTAATGGGAAATCGAATAGGCAATCGAGCAAAGAGAGAAAGAGGGAAAGAGTTAACGATCGACCGGCAATCACCAACAGAGTAATAATGTCTTTGCTTAGTAATCGATCATAAAGAATGTTCACATATGTTTAATGGGGTGAGAGAAAGTCAATAGAAATCAAATGGTTATCGTTTTGGCTAATGATATATTGAAATAAGTGCACATGAACTATTCGGTTTAAACATTTTATCACACCTGTATATATAATAATAAAATATTTAAAAGACAAATTCATATATACATACATAGCATTCATATATAAACTCATAATGTGAATATTATTATTTTCTAAACTTATCATTAAATTAGTTTGATACAAACGAGATAATATTTTTCGGTAGAGTTAAAGGGAAAAAAAAAGACATGAAGAAAAAAAAAGAAAGAAAGCCATGCTCGTGTTACCTTTCCGTTCTTGACATACTCCTAACACTTCGCAATGCAATGTGATAGACGCCAAAACGAATGAGCGAACGACAAAAACAAGCTACAGCAAGCATCAACAGCTTGAATGACAGTATTGGTAGTAAATAAGACAAGCGCACATATATAAAGTAAATTTACACAAGGCACAAATACACATGCACCCACCAAATGTTGTATAAATTGAAAAAGATGTAAAGAAAGAGAGAGAGAGAGAGAAAAAAAAAGAGAATCGGGATTACAAACGATAACTAATAATACACACACATACACACATATACACATCAATCTGATGAGAGCTCGAGACTAGTTTGATGATGAGATCTATATTTTTAAACTATTATCAACGACGTGACAATGATGCAATCGCTGCTTGCACTGAATTGAACATCATTAGTATCGCAAATATGAGAGTGTCTGAATAGAGAAAGAATACGGAATGCACACACACACTTTCATCAAGATGGACGACTGCCACTTCTCTTTTTTTTTTGTCTGTCTTTATTTCTTTTTTCTCGCTCTCTCTCTCTCTCTGTCTTTTTCTTTTTTACTTTGACCAGAGGGATTTGATTGACAAACACACAGACATTCAAGAAAAAAAACGAGAGGAAATTGCTATGACTATATCCGGCGCAAGAAATGCATGTGTCCCTTGTGTGACTACTATCGGCTTATCTTATGTTTTATCTCATCTATCCAAGGTGGATCTTCCATACTATATGTCAAGAGGGACAAAAGAGATAGAGAAAAAAAACGAAGAAAAAAAAAAATGGAACGGGAAAGGCCATTAAGAATTGTTGCTTAGCTTGCAAGATGCTACTAATTGATGTCATGTAAAAGAAACGCCAGTACGAGCATATACAGGAAAAAAAATGTATGTTATAATTCTTTTTTTTATGTGACTTCTATCACTACTTAGAGATGCATTTCTACGTGTACACAACACATTTTTACCGAAAGACAAATGAGCTGACACAAGCTAGAAAGAAATCATATAATAAAGACTTTGTTTTTTAAGTATCACAAGAAAAAAGATGACAGGAAAAGATATATATATAAATATAAATATATTGCATGAAAGTTAAAAGACTTGATATATTACTTTTTTTTTCAGAGATGAAAAAAACTCATTTAGATAATGTTGATATATATGCAACTAATGAAATCGATTTAGTTTTTTCTTTTATACGAACTAACTAATTTCATTCTTTTGATTTGTTTTACTAGTAAATGACAAATTTCATCATGATAAACATATGTCATTGAATGGGTAATTAGTCTTGTTGTGAAGAAAAAAAAAAGAATATATAAACACATATATATATATATATCAGTAATATTCTTCAATAAGTTAGAAATCTAGGCCTCGTCGAATTTCCCTTTGCTTCTTTTTTTTTTTTTTAATAATCATCAACAGAAAAAATAACAACTGTCTTATCTTATATATCTCTATTTACATTGATAAATTAGAAATTCATGTCATCAATATAGTTTATTTATGTTGAAGAAATAGTAACATATAAATTATCAACGCGGATATTGAAAATCTAAATTTTAATTTATTGTATTTCAATAGTCAATTTTTGTTTTTTTGTTTAATACTTACAAGACTATTTCATTGTTTTTCTTTCTGTATTCTCGAATAAAAGGGAAAGTATTAACATATATACATATATATATATTCCAGATTGATTCAACCTCATTGATGATGATGATGGTGATGACAGAATCCATATTGGCCTTGCTTCAGTTATCTTGTCTTAGTAAGCGAAGCAAAGCCTGATTAGCAAGTAATCACACGTCGTCATCATCATCATTTGTTTACAAGAAAAAAAAATACTCTGACAACGCACGTAGGCACATACAACACATACATTAAAAGACCTAACACTTATCATTATCATCGTTTTCTTTTTCTTTGAGATAAAAAAGAACATTAGACTAGTAACCTTTTTAATAATGGTAAAATGTAATATAGATTTTAATGACGAAAAACTTTCTTGTAATATAAAGATTTCCTTTAGGCAATTGTACAATGTGCATGTCATGAGTAAAGAAACGAAACAGACAAACACATGCAAGCACTTCATCTCTTATCTTCGCACATCTATACCGGCGCCAATGGGTTTCGCCGTATGTGATAGATAGAGTAGAAAAAGAAGCTCGATGTTGTTTACAGATCGATGCACTAATTGGCACGCACATGCATACAACATTCACTAGAGAGATAGTTAAATAGATGGATAGCTGATCGGATGTGAAGCGACGAAGCCAGTGTTGCACAAACATACACTTTCCTTTCTTATCGCCTAAAGGCGGGCATGCATCAACATGGGTGGGACTTTTTACCAGAATTTGATCATCATCATCATCA